AGAATTCTATCATTTCATGGTCACTAAACGGGACCAGATCACCTCCTGATACGTTTTCTAGCCTAATTATTTTATGATGGATCAGGATTGTATGCCAGTGGTTTGACAAGTACAGCTTCTAGCAGGAACTCATTGAAACTGTGTTTCTTATAATTTCTGTATTGGACACCACGTCACACACACATACACATTTTCCGAGTATTTAACTGAAAAGCAGGTTTCAATAATAAAACCTGGTATTGACATGTCTAACACCTTTGCACCAAAGATATAAAAGCAGTTCTGTGCCCCACAAATCTAACTAGGAAGGTCAAGGTTAGTGGTGTAAAGAACCTCTGTAGCAAATGGAAACATGCCTATGCTATCATGTGCTTATTAAGAACACAACCAAGTGTTTGCACTGGAGTTCTGGGACAGTGTTTGACCACATGCAAGAGGTTGCAATCTCAATCCAGACAGCACTGGATCACTGTGCACTATTCAGCTTTCAAGTTTTTACCTGTCACTGTGAAATACCATGCAATAAGCATACACTAGCAGTTCAATGTCTGCATCCACTGACAGCATAGAAAAAACTGTTCTGAAAACTGTGCATTGCCTATTTATTTCATCAAAGTGTGAATACAAACAATGGCATCCTAGGAAAAAAACAGTATTAACATACAGACATCTCCTGCCACACCACTAATTCCCTATTTTTTTCTTATTTAAAACGGCAGCTACTGAACAGGAAAGAAGTGAAAAGTGGGATATTATTCTGTTTTATGTGAACAGGAAACCTATCCACAGTTCAGAGTCCCCAGCTCTGGTGCTCAAAATGAGATGGAAATAGGTTTATAATGTCACTTGTGAGTCCTTTTCCTCCTAGCCAAAGCACAGGAGCTTAGCTATGTTCAGGAAATACGCTACTGGATTTGCTAGCCTGTTAAGTTCTCCTTATTTCCTGTTGTCTTCTCTTTCTGGAACATAAATGAAAGCCTCCTGTCCCTCATCTTGCCATTCTGATGAGTCCAAGGAAAGCAGGGAGACCAGAGCTTACACCTTCCTTGGCAGGCCATCTCGCTGATGTCAACATGAATTTAATAAAATGGTTCTTTTTAAAAAAAGGTAAGTGGGAATGTAACAAACTGGGGCTCTCCACAACTACCAAATAATATCCCACATGTGGTATTGACACCTTTTACCAGAAAGCAGCAATAGTGACTTAGTGCATGTTTGTAGAGGCAGGTTTGGACAACACACGCTCATTCCACTATGCCTCCAGGCTGTTGAGAAGCCTGCATGCTCTGGCTGAACTAACATATGTGGCACCTCTTGTAACACCACACTGCTCTGCTGCCATGGTCCGAGAGGCACACATTACTTTATGCAGAACGCTGCATGGGGCCACCTATACGAAGGATTATACTGAATCACAGTCATTGCTGTTGTGTGCTTCCCTCATGCGAATCCCTTTACCCTGGGCAATACAGATGTAAATACAGAAATATATGTACATACTAAGTGGCTTGTATGCAAAAGACTGTACTGTCTTGCACTGCAACTCTTACTATATGTAGCAGGAGCCTTGCAAACAGAGCTCTACATAACTGAACAAATGTAAAACAGGACTGAAATAGAGGACCGCCAACATTTTTTGAACTGATTTTCAGGGCCCACATAATTTCTAGATTTGTTAGGAAGAAGCACATGCTTAGCCTCCAGGTACAAGACAGGGCAGGAAATAATTATAAACATAATAACACACTAATCTTTTTGAAAGATGTCTCTAAGTGAACTACTAGCAGGAGTAAGTGGTAGACATACTTTTCCTGGCACAATGAGACCTGGGTCAGCCACAGCTACACCATTCACACTACTCTTTGGTTTATCTCTTCTGAAATACTTTCCCTTCCTTTAGAAAATGCTCTGAAAATATATTCTGCTTTTTATTTATGTTGTTCATTCACCAAGTTCGAAACTTAAAAATATTTCTTCTCACTTTGCTGTTGTCATCCTTCCCAGTACAATTATGCAAAGCCAAAGAAGCACCTGGACACCTGCACCATAAAATTTTCAAAATATGTGCAGAAATTACTGTAAAACCCGTTTGTAACCATCTGCTCCTGTGACACAACAAAAGAATGGCTGAACTGACTCATTGCTGTGGCCAGTAGGGTGTGCCTTTTGCTCACAGTTGTGAGCAGTTCCATCTGGCAGCAAAACCACCAAAACCACAAAGGGGGGTTTAATACACAGCTGTGCTTCACTTGTCCACCTGTCAGCACCTCACCTTTGATCTCATATGGAATACTTGCATTGTTTACCAGCAAAATAGCAAATGTCTGCAGCCACTAATAGTGGCTATATACAGTTTCTAATAGTGGCTATATATAGTTACTATATAGCAAAATAGCACTGCAGTAACATCTGCAGTAACGGCAATAAAAACCTGTGGTTTTATCTAATTAATAAAATAGCTAATTGAATCAAAGACTTCATGTCACTCTGCCCAATTTTCTCTTGTGTCTGGAGTTGTATCTTCTCCTGGCTCCCAGAAGGCTTCAGGTAGGCTCTCGAGAAATGTATATTGAAAGATGCTACACTATTAGACAATGAGGCAGCAACTATCCAATACCAACCACTTGTTGACTTTTTGGCTAACAATAAACAGGTGTGTAAGATATAAATAAGAACACAACAGTCATTATTTTTGATGGAGGTACTCATCTTTGCAGCCTTAACACACACGTACACACATCTGCTTGACTTGTACCTTAACATTACTGTTAAAGCTCTGACTTCAGCATACATTTTATTTGGGTTACTCTATCCTCAAGGGCCACGGTATGTCAAATCAGAGCCTTAAGATATACTGCATAAAGGTGGTACACTACTATGGCAGTCAACAGGATGTTTGAACCCTAAAATCCTAGGAAAGCACTGGCACTCTAGTTGGAAAAAAAAAGAGAGGAAAGACTAGATGGGCAATTTTCCAACATTCTGGGTTCTGAATATTGCAAGGAGAGAAGCAAAACACAGTAGACATGACTTCTTCTGGAGTGAGTAAAGAATATTTTGTTTGTGGTATCAAATATGTTGGAACTTAACTAGCTGAAAAGCAGCACCTTGCATACAGCCTTCAAGTCTCTTAACACACTATATATGAAGGGATCCAAATAATGGGGAAAGATGCATGACTATTAGTCTGAATTCATACCTTCCATGAGTGTGTATTGCCACACAAATCTCATGAAATCCTCTGGACCTCTATCAAAACTTTCAGCTTCTCTGAGAAGAGAAAAATGACCCATTGTGAACACAGGTTTAGTGTCTTACCATTTTCTTCATGGCAATACTCTTGTCCTGCAATGCTGCATCTCCGAAAAACCATCTTATTTTCAGTAAGGGTTCCAGTCTTGTCAGAGAAGATATACTGAATCTGGCCAAGGTCTTCAGCAATATTCAGTGCTCTACACTGAATTGTTGAGTCTGTTTTCTCATGGTAAAAATCAGTGTCATTCTGTATTAAATAAATTTGTCCCAATTTGACAATTTCAATTGAAACATAGAGGGAAATTGGGATCAAGACCTAGCAAAATAAAACACGGGGATTAAATAAAATCAAACTCTTTGGCCAGTTACAAACATGAAGTAGCTCTACTGAAGCCGAAGAGTTACTTCAAGGATACTAATCAGATCAGAATATGACCCATATTCAAAGCAGACCAAAGTTACCTGTAATAAAATGATCATCGTCCAGAACATATTGAAACCTGCTAATGTTGGAGGAATTGATTTCCCATCTGGCTCAGGGATGTTAAATAAAGGTATTTCCGAATACCTAGTTAACCAAATTCCATGGCCTTGAAAACAAGAACAAGATAAAGTGAGTCAGTTGTATGTAAACTATGACAGTTCAGGGTCATGGTGTTAGCTGTTACACTCTGCAGTTCTTTCTAAGCTTTTAAGCTACCATTTTATGTCTTGAGTTTTTCCTCAACGGGAACCCCATTAAAATTAATTAAATATCAGTGCACACATGAATAAATACCTTATATGCATTTCTATCAACAGCACATCTATACAGCACATCCCAGAACTAAAGGAATACTAACTATACTTGATAAACACTTCCCCCCACCCCCGCCCCGCCCCTGAAAAACCTCTGGCAATTAATTGTATTATCCTTGCTTGTCCAGGTTTTAGTTAACCTGTGAAGACCATGTCATCATTATTAAGTGTAGTCTGAAGAAGTTTTTTTAAATATGTTTTAAACACCTTTTTCATTTGTCATAAAGGTTAGTCTGTTTAGATTTACTCAAGTTCACTATTTAATCAATCCTTACACTATCAAGTCCTTACAACTCTAATCACACTAGGCCTCTCCCCACAATGCTGTACATGCATCTCATGTTACCTGAAAAATCCTAGAGAAAGTAGTTTTTCAGAGCAATTAGTGAGAGAAAAGAAAAATGAACCAGAGAAACAGGTTCCAGACCTAAGAACTCGCACCAGGAACATACTTCTTGACCACACTCCAGATTAAACATGACAACATGACCTAAAACTTGGCAGCATCCCCAGCTGCTAGGGAATTACACATGGATAAAAGCAGTTTCCAAGATGGGCTGTTAAAATGAATCAGCCCCAAAATAAAACACTAAGCATTGTAGGCTGAGAAAGGAAAATAGCAGGAGTCTGCTGATTCTCACTTACCTATTGCACCAGTTAAACACATCAAAATTAGAAGCAGAACACACCAAAGAATATCAGTATTCACTTTTCTTTCCAGTTTACTGCGCTTGTAATGAGGGCCACTGTTATTCAGCATGGCTTTTGTTTCATGACCTGTAACCACAACACAGGTTGAAATTCTCTAATAAGCAGGAATCAGAACCACAAGTGTTTTATATTTCTAAAGCTCTGGGAAACGGGACATTTCTGTTAACTAATATTTGAACAGAGATTACAAATATGAGCAAACTAACTGCTCCTGCAATATATGAATTCTGTCCTAAAGCAAACCGAACAAGCTAAACCAAAATCTGTCATGTACACATTAACTTTTACACTGTCAATAATATTCCTTCCTATAGAAACAATCTTATTCTTGACGTTTTCTATATTATTTCTAGTATTTTCTACAAAATCCTGCACCTGCATCACAACTATGTGGCTGGATACATCATATTGATTAGTTTAAAAACCTCTACCCTTTGATACAGAACACCGAAGAACAGCACTAGCTTCTGTTTTGGACCAGAAAAAAATCCTAAGCAAGCCACGCGTCTCCATGCCCATTTCAAAACCCGGGTTTACCATTGCAACTAGCAGTTGAGCACAAGGACCTGTTCACATGGAACAGAGCTGGCCTCCCATGAATAATCAAACATATCAGTCCTTTACATTGTTAAAATAGAAACAAACTTAATCCAGACATGCATTCTTAACATTTCTAGCTACAGCTGCCTTCTGCTGGATTCAAGCTTTTACTCTCCTAATTCCCCTTTGTACGATATTGTTTCTTAGGGTACACAACTCTATCTTGTTTGCAAGGCAATCTCTGAAAGCCAGGGTGGTTCACTAACCTGCATATACCACTATGCCTACAACAGCTTCTGTGTTTCTTATTGTGCATCCTCGGAGCAGTAAGTTTTCCTTGCTGAGGCCCACTCGATCCTTGTTTGAATGCTCACTGAAAAAAAGCACATTACTTCAGCTGTAGGACTCCAGCAATTACCAGTCAGGCTTTGCAAAACCATTAGGGAGCAAATTTCCCAAAGAAGCTGCTAGTCACTGACTGCCATTCTGATATTTCCGATCGGACTTTTCAAAAGAATGGGGTAACATGCACGCAGATCACCTTTGAAAATCCAGGCATGTAAGCACTATATTAAAATTTTCTTATGTTTACAAGCCTAGTATTTACCAGCTGGCATATGAGAAGTAGGCAACACTGCTGAAAAGAGCTCAAGACAAACACTGAAAGTCTGAAAGCCTATGACTTCTGCTTGGATTGCCAACATCAGAAAAAATTCAAACAAAATATAAAATCCCATTTTAAATATACTGTGAGCATTGTTACTCCTGTGGCATACCTTCAGTGCATGTAGGCTCCCTGTTTGTCAAGGTGTTTCCTCAGACACTAAGATTTATATATTGGGTTTTTTTTTCATATTCCTAATGCATCAGTGCCCACAGGGAAGAATATAGACATTATAACTCTCAAAACCTGAAAATCAGTCACCTCATGAAACAGTATTTTGTTTTCCTACTGTCTATCATAAACCCATAAGAAGAAAAGACAGATAGGCACGCTGGTCAAAAGGAGTTTGATCAAGTCACTGAGGGTTACACAAAACAAATCAGAGTAGGAGAGGAAGCCAGTCCTTCCCACTTCCAATTCTGAGCAACGCAGCTTGTCCAATCAGGCCATGGTCCAGACCAAATACTGTAGATATCACTGTTATTAAGAGCACATTTGAAACAGCTATTTCAAATATGGAGTACTCAATTGCAAAACAGCCTGAACTCAGATGTTGAAAATATTCAATACAAAATAAAAAGCACTAGCGGGCTTTCTCAGTTCACAATCTGCTGCTCAGAAAGCCCTTCTGGAGCTCTATCTGCTGAGATAAATGTATGTGGTACTCAGAAATGTAGTGGTGCAAACTGACTTCTATACATATTGTCATTATTTTTTAAAGGAAACATTACAACCTCTCTGAAAATTAGTAAGAGCACCAAAGCACATGACAATAATTTAAAGAGCCACCAAGCCTACTTACACAAAGCCTCGGAAGCAACTGAGGTCATTGTTAGGACTTTCACACTCTATTCTACTGGAAAATTTTTCTGGATCAATTTCAGAGACCTAAAGCCATAGGAAAAAAAAACCAGAGAACTCAGACAAAATGTGATGGAACTTAAAAACATCATAAATTCATAAGTTCAGATATTACTGTCTAACAATTTAGCTTCGAAAATGTAAGTTGCCGGTGGTGTTGATGATCTGCTACCCGGTGTCAATCAGACTTGCACAGCATGGAAGGACTTCCATGGTAAATACCAAACCCTGGCAAGTATCAGTTGAATTACTGGTATTTTGAGAACACTGGAGAGGAGAAAATAGGTGGAAGAGTGAGGAAGAAGAAGAAAAAAAATGCAATAAGAACATCTGAAAAGAGAGATTTCCCACACGTTTTTTTCATGACAGAAGCACTGTCTTTTCTGCAAGCAGAATTTCTTCCAAGCAGCCGTTGTTTCTGATACCATGACCAGGATGCTATCTGTGCTAACGCAAAGAAAGCAGGTAGAACTTTTTAATGATGTTTGAGCCTTACCAGTACCAAAAAAAAAGGGCTGTTATGAAAGACTAGAAGTACATGTTGTGAATAAAGATCAGGTGAGCTCTTCAGTGAAGAGAAAAGCCAAGCAAAACAAATATCCTTTATTAATAAAGAATGAAACCTGACAAGAAGTAAGACAAAAACCAAAAGGCCTTATCTTTGGAATTAACCTGCAATTGCACTTGCAATTTAATTTCAGTTAATGGCGTATGAATATGCCTCTAGTATAACAGAGGTTAGCCTCTGGTATAATAGAGCCAATCGCAAGCCTTCCACTAACTCTTTGGAAAGTCATTTGTTCTGTTCTTTAGAAAAAAAGAATGACCAATTTAAGGTTTGGAACTCCAAGGATAAATCTGTAATTCACAGGTGTAATTGAATACATCTTCTACATAATTACAGGTCTCTGAAACGGCTGCACTCTCACAATTGGGTGACTTCTCACTGTCAGAATAGTAACTATAAGGTTAAAACACAATCCTGTAAGTAGAATTTGAAACTCAGAAGACATAGTATTATTAACACGTACTTTGCTGGCTTGATTAAAAAAGTTTTTTTTGCTACGTTTTGCTGTATTGATTTGTCAGGTATTAACCTGAAGTCAATATGAACACAGCCTTAGACAGACAGATACCTTCAGTCTCTTTGTAAATTTAATTAACTATGAAAGACCTCTCTCTCCACTGACCCTTCTCATGTTTATTTGTACAGCAAGTACAAAATTTCTGTAAAATGTTAAGACAGTATAATTGATTCACACTTTTCAGGCATTTCATATTGTACAATGATTACACAAAAAAGAGCACAAAGAGAATAAGAACTACCCCCAAAAGGAAGTAAAATAGCCAAAACAGTCGATTCTTTTCTTCTACAGCCTGGAAACTGTCTCCAGATACGTATTCTGGTGAAAGCATCTTATTTTTGATGGGCAACTAAACTATTTGACTTTGACAAACAATTTGTAATAGCAGTGAAGGTGTTGCTTCTTGCAATATGCCTTGAAATAGCAACCACAGAAACTCGGGGTGTAAGCTATAGTGGGCATAGAAGTTATGTCTACACTCTGCCGGTATGAAACAGAGGTGACAAAAACTATGTCCAAAAGCAGCTATCTTTGATATGGGCACTCAAATCTTCCTGGACTGTAAGTTTATGTTCTATATTTCTTCTACATTTCTTCATTATATAAATGTATATGTTGTTATGGACAGCACCGACACTCCCTGCTGTCGTGTTCAGCATGGTGTTTCAGCAGCAGAACTCAGTACCAGGTGTGCTAAAGATTGCAGAAATGCCAGGATTCTTTGTTCTTTTGGTATCATCTTCCTTGTGCCAGCCTCCAGCATTTTGTCTGCTAGGTATAACAGTAAGTATTGTATGACGGTAAAAACACATTTGCAATATGAAAAAACAGTGAAAGAGAGAAGATAATATCTGCTTCTCTCTCCAGGTCTTTATAGAGCACAGAACTCCCTTCTAAAAAATTCCAATTTCTCACCCATGACATGATATGCGCTATAAATGACTTCTTGACATTTACCTGAATAGTTATTTTTACTGGCTTGCATTACTTGAAATAAATCTCTTTCTCTGGGTTAAGTGAACACACAAAGATTTGCTCCAAAGTAACTCAAGCAACAAATTAGAACTATGTTACCTAGTTATTTTCTTTTCAGATGGGGATTGCTGAGCTATCAAGAATTGGGAATCTAGAGGGCTGAGTTGTTCGGTTTTTTTTAGTTGACCATCCATCCTGTCAACTTTCTTACACCACTAGAAATACACAATTATCACCTGCTCTGAATATCCTCTCACCACCTGCCTCTGCTTTAGATTGGTTTCTCCATCAAGGCCTGCCGTTTCAATGTAACAGATCCCATCCAGGTCACTAGAATATAACAGCATGATTTCATTACGTGAAAGCCGGATGAAGTCCCCAACATTGACATTTTTCCAGCATTCATCTATGTATTTCTTCTCCTTCCTGAAATACATATAAAACCATTAATTTTTTACACATGCATAAACTGAAAGCTCAGAGAAACATACTGTAACTAGAAAATGATTCTAATAGTTAATTTATGCTTCCAAGTCATTAAAAAACTCTGATGAGATACTCTGTTAGCTCAAGGTGAATATAATCACAAAGAATCAGCTCTGGGGTCCAAGCCCTGTTTTTCTAGGAATTACATTCCAGGCACCCTCCCAGAATTATTTTAGGTCTATTTAAAATTCAGCCCACTTGCTTCCTGTATTTTCATTATTCCAAGAAAGCAAGCAGTGTTTTCAGGATTCCTGTTTGGGTCACTACTTTTTCTTGCAATTATGCAACCAAGAACAGCAAATCTTTTTCCCTTTTGATAGGGCCTTTCAGAAATGTCTGCCTCCCAAGATGATGAACATCTACCAGTAAGCGAAGAATATTCAGCAACCACTTCACTGATGCTCTGAATATAAATAATTGTATTTACAGGCTTTTATAATATCTTTTCCATTAATTTTGAACATAAGGTACCAAGACTCTACAATACTCAAGGAAGTCAATAAAAGCTCAGGCCCATCAGCATTGAGTTGAAATTCTTTATTAATATGAAATATCCAGGCATGACATACGTAAGTTTGAACTGGTTTCAACTTTCCTTTTATAGCTGCTGTTCTGTCCTCAGCCAAGATGAAGAATCTGCCTTTTATGTCATGACAGCAGTTTATTGCAAACACAGTCAGGTTTAGCATGGTGAATAGGATGCAAAGTAATAAGCAACAAGGAGTGCTTGATGAGCTAGCCAGAGGCACACAGTGGTAGGCTACTGCAATATGGGTGATGAAACACACCTACAGTTGCTGTTACAAATACTGCACAGGTCTGGATGCACTACGTTTTTGTACAAACTATTACTGCCCTCTGACTGCCTGGCCTTTCTGCCTTGCACAGACTAACCCTAGAGCTATGTTTGAAGAGAGGAGCATGTACTCTCCAGAGTCTTCGTTTCTCAGTCATCCAGACTGGGGTATAATCTGGGCTGTGCTAGGGGTATCTTCCACGTTGTGCTTCCTTCCCTGGATCTCATTCTAAGCTGGCCAAGAAGCACACTTGCACCAGGGAGTTGGGAAATGCACCCAGCTTCTACAGTGCAGACATAAGCTAACAAGCTTTGCAACATGGCCATTATGTGTAGACTGGCACTTATCTACCAGCTTTAATCAAAGTGCTAACTATGTAAAATGCTTCTGATAAATACTGAAATAGAAACAGACACTTCTAATGACAAAGAAAATATCAGAAAAATATTCCATGTATCAAGCTTTGCACCCATACCTTTCAGACCTGCATTATCTGACAGCACCCTTTTGAAAATGCTTGTCTACAAACAAGGCACAAAGCCCACTCAATTCATCAGTGTACTGATGACAATTTCTCCAGTGAAGACAAGATGGAGGTGGTTATATCACTTTCAAAGTGCAAACAAAGCGAAAACAGGAAGCCACAAAAGCTGACATAAAATTAAAGCAATATAAGGCACATCTGTTTTCTCCTTAAGATGCTCGTCACTGGTCTTCTACACAGATGGAAAACTGGCACAATGGAAAGCATGTAAAACTTAATTAAAGCTACAGCCATGTCTATCACAAGATGGATGGATTCAAAAAACACTGCAAGAATTAACTTTTCATACCAGTACATTTCCTTGACAATAAATAAATAAATAAATAAATAAGAGTTGAAGGAAAAATTTCTGAAGTAAATTAACAAAAAACAGTGTAATAATAGAGGTAAACAGGAAAAGGTAAGGAAGATTTGCTGAAACTGGATACGACTCTCAGTTACTGACAGTATGACTTAAGTTTTGATACCTGCAGAGGTGCTGACAAAGTAAATCTATTCAGGAGACTGAGCAAGCTGAAAACTAGTGATCTTTTTTTTTTTTGTTTAGAACTACCCCTCAGGTATTGAAAACTACGACTTTTTGTGTAGGCCAATTTACCCCGATAGGAAGGCCAAGTGAGTCCAATTAGGGTACAACACCAGCTGGAGCAGAATGCCCTGGTCACTCGAAAACAGCACCCTTTTACCTCACCCTCCGAACAGGACGGAAAGGATTTGAGAACCCAGGAGGGCAGTGGGAGAAAATTACTTCCACGGCCAGCTTGCATCTAGAAGAGTTAGAGAAAGGATGGAAATGGAAAGGTAAGCAAGACAAAATAAGCTCATAAACAAAGCAAGCAATAGCATCACTAATGTATTAAGATAAAAATACCAGGGGAAAAGTTGTAAATTTCTGCCACTGACTTCTACAGGATTTTTTCAAAGTGAATTGGAATTTGCAAAACCACAGAAATATTTGGAAATTAAAAATTTTGTGACAAAGCAACCCTTTGATTTATCCTTGAAGTAATTATTTACTAGCGATTCCAAAAAAGGAGAAAAACGCTGATAGTCTCACATCCCTGTATTTTTTCTAATTACCATGTATTTCACCAAGAACTACAAAAAACTATTTTTCTGTGCTGCCAGTGTTGAGATTAGCCCTCAGAAGATGGCAAATATTTCTCTTTTAAATCACCACCTATTTAATAAATGTGGGACGACGCTTCTTTTTACTTGATGCACTTGGGTAAGTCCCACTTTCTTTTTGCCAGGCTGGAGTCTGGGAGAGGAAAGGAAAGCTAAAGGTAAGGAAGACTCTTGTAGAAAGGATTATTCTTTCCAGATCTCAATTCCATAAAGAAAAACTGGATATGAAATTATATCTGGATTTCAAATATATACAATCATTTGCATAAACATGCATTTGTAAATAACAGTAATTATAACACATCTGCATGCAAGGCTTGGAAGGAAACAGAAATACATTTGAGAGAGATGAAAAACATATGAGCCAGCAAAGTTATCCGTCCTGCTGCTGATGCAGCAGATGGATCATGCACATATTCTTTACCCAGTTCAGCACAAAGTCAGACAAAAAGTTTAACCATCGCTAGTAGTAGGTCAGTGGGGGAATAAACGGATTTTTCCATCATAATCACCTCACACAGTTCTACTGAAACGACATGAACTGTATGATTTTAACAGATGCTCAAAGACAAATGCCTTATACTATGTGATTCAAGGCTATTTAAATAAGATCCTACCACTTTAAAATGGTAACTTGCTCAAAAGGCACAAGGACTTGATAACTAAGTATTTAGCATCATAGCAACAATTACAAACTAAAGTGCACATTAGTACATTTTATTGTTTATTGGTATTTTTTATTACTCCACAAGGGAAAAATGAGACAGAAAAAAACCACCCCAACATTTTAAGCAACGTTATCACATTTTCAAGACAGAAATAAGCTTTCCTGGAAAAATCAGCTTCAGGCTCTGTGTATTTAAGGCCAAATATAGTAATTCTGATCTATCAAATGAATAAATTCCAGAACTCCAAGAAGAAGTAGCAGGTTGAAAATTCTGAAACTATGGATGTCAGACATTTGCTATAAGCAAAAGCAAATGGGGGGGTGGGGGCAGAAATCAGATTTGTCAAAAAAGCACAGAAACTAGCATCTAGTTGCTCAGATACATTTATCAAGGCACTGAGACTAGCACATTTTGTCCCGGGTAACAGAGCACAGAGAAACTAGTTTCTATTACCAACACTTAACTTTGTATAAAAGCAAGCCTCGCAAGAGTTCAAGAAGCAAGGAACACTGGTCTTCCTGAAAATGCTTCACGCAAATTATCTTCAAATACAAACAGGTGGCCTATCAGCTTTCAAGCATGACAACTATTGCTTAGTTATGTTGAGATAGCAAGAAGAGCCATTATAGTGGGCACTTGTCTCAGTAGCCATGTAGGTATCAGTATCTAATGTGTAAGTAAAATTATACAGACAGCATGTACAATATATACAACTTCTCCAGAACAACAAATGCACAGTAAGAAAATAATTGGAAATTGTATTCAACATTAGCTAGTTCTTCATCATGTTTACAATTGATATGACTATTCTTGATTAAATGCATGCACTGGAAGAGTGATTACAATTTCTAAGGGATTCTTGTTAAACAAGTTAAGAAATTCTGAACCCTAATGTGAGATTAATGGAAGTTTAAGATAAATCAGCTCACATATAGTGAACTATCATTTTTGTACCAATAAGATTTAATTCTCCTGAACCATGTCTCCAAGCTTATTTTTAAAATCAGGTTATACTATATAAAATAATTAATGATAAAGAAACTAAGGAGATAAAAAAGTTACAAAACCTAAATACTTATAGGCACAAGAAGGAATTTTTACAGATGACTAATATGGCCACATTTATTACACATTTTTGGTGATGAGGAAGGAATCAAGCCAGAAAAGATCAGAAATTAATTCCGCTTCATTGACATTGGTATGAGATTGCAAGTAACACAGAGTTTTCAGGAATATTGATATTGAATGCTTCAGCTTTCTGGCAAGGAATTCTTTCAGGGTACATAACAATTTATAGCAGAAATAATCCAGCTTCACCCTTAAGCCTTCTCTGCAGACATGAAAAAGAAAGAAAATGTTTATCTACCCTAATAGCCCAATTACTTACTTATTTCAAGCTCAAATTCTTAAGGGTTGAATAGAATGTTTCTGGGAAAGCTGCTACATATATTCATGTTTGCAGAACAAAAAGCTGTTTGTTTTTCCTTTGATGATATAAAATGATAGTCCAGACTTTTTCTATGGTTATGAGCTAGCTCTTGAAATACCAATAGAGTATGGCAAATGCCAGAAAGCTGGACATTCCATCTTTTGAGTAGTATCACAATATATTTAATGGTTATGTAGTACCAGATTGCAAACCTGCTGCATGGGCTGATTAAGGTTGTGTCTGCAGTACAGAGTTTAGGGTTTGGCATAACCAGCTAGCACATTAAGATTTTAGAAAAGTTTATTTTCAGTGTATTGCCTTCACTAGGAAAAGGTGTGTCTTTAACAAATTCAGTAACGTCCGAGCAGTTACATACAGTAGTTGCTGTAGCGCCAAACCATATTTAAAACTCCCTCTTTTCATTGAAGTATCTAACTGCCAATCAATCCTCTCCTACAAGTGCTATTTGTGATGGCTACTACAACATATGGAAAGTGACGTTTTTCAAAATATTTGCTTCCCTGCATGACCACAGAGCATGCAAGAAAGAAAAAGGGTCCACCATACTTCCTTTATCTTTGTATTTTACAGGCTTTGAATGAGTCTTAGAATATCCTTTTATCACAGGTATAAAAGAAAAACAATGATGTGGGGAGCACTGACATGCACTAAAAGAAGTTTTTTGCCAGTTAATTTAGAATATGATCAGTTTGCGTTCCTGTCTTTTTATTATCCATGCGTAACAACCGCCTGTCAGCAAACCTCTCACCACTAGCATGCTCCACTCCTGACCTGACCTACAGTCTGTTATACTGCAGTCCTGCACTGTGGAACAGAGGCTAACATTTGTACCAAACTATGTGATGCACTTAAATAGAAAATGATCTAATTCTGGTCAGGGAAATGTTACTACATTATGAGTACATCCCGATACCATTAATAAGCTTTATCAATATAGTGATAAATTAGCAACCCTTGAATTTCCATGATGCTTACAGTGATTTTAGAGGAATTAAAAACACACCTTTCAAAACAAATGCTATGTACAACAATTACCTTGGTTAATACAGTACAAACTCATGCATAAGCACTCTTGCCTCAACCAAAGAATAAATTTTTTTAGCAAATTTTACACTAATTTGATATCCATTTAGCAAAACTGGTGATCAAGACTCAACCAGACTAGTCCCTGAGCAACCTGATCTAATTAGACTTGCTCTGAGCAGGGGGTTGGACTAGATGACCTCCAGAGACCCCTTCCAACTTAAATTATTTTATGATTCTGTAAGTATCCAGAAAGTAAACCGAAAGATTTATCAACAACTTTTTCACACACTCATAATCAAATAATAACAATAAACCAGAAAGACTGTTGTCTCTTACCTGCTATACACTTTGGTTAGTAAATTGTTTATCTGTTTATCCATTTTATACTTTGAGTAATCTTCCAGACCGTCTTTCACTGCAATGATTGTCAGAACCGCTATTAGAGGTAGCATTGTAATTTCTTTTTGGAAGGCTTCCACCAGAGGAACCCAATTTAGGACAACTAGAAATAGGAAATACAAATTGGCAACTCTGAAACAAAGAGAAAACATAGGAGTTAGCTGTGCTAGCAGACAGTCATCCTTATTCCACCACTTCATGCTATATAGACACTTAAGTTAGCAGTATTTTATCTTTTCTTCCTCCCAGCTGCAATTTAACAACTCAGTATCCAGAACTCTCTTTTCACTCACCAGTCAATAGATAACTTAGCTGCACAGTTGCTTAATATACATGATCAGAAGATGCAGAAACCAAGAATTTTCCTGTATTTTCAAACCTGTCCTCCAGGCGTATGTCTTCTAGTGAAGCTTTGGTGAACTTGCACTCTCTCAAATTTCCAGGTCTTTTAAACTTAATTTTATCATCTCCTGGGGGAGATGACATGTTTTTAAAAGGGAGCCATCCTACAACCTGTTTGCATAACTTTACAAATCAGCAGTCCTCCAAGCAGAAGGAGGATGGAAAAAATTGGCAACAGAGAAAGACATGAGGGAAGGGGAGAAACACATTTGCAGGAAATGAGTTGAAAATCCTACCGTAGATTGCTGTGTGGCGGTGCTCCAAGAGTAAGGAATATTTCAATAACCCAAATAACAGAATGAGTGGAAATTACATAAACTATGGAGAAAAGGATTAGCCCAACACTGATGACACTCAAGAGACTTTGGCCAAATAACACAGACCTTTTCAGAAGTGATAGGCAGGTCAGGAGGAAGAATAATTTTTGAATACCCGTCTATATAGTAATACACACATTTAAATAAAAGGATTCCATTTCAGAAGCATTACCACAATCAAAAGGAGTTCATTACCTGTGAAATTGTTCAAATAAATTCCGTGGTAAAAAATTCAATAAAGTATACTTAGTAGTCCGTATTTTGTTGTTCATGTACAGTTTAGATACTTTTTCATATTCTTCCTTAAAATGTCCCAAACAGGGTATCACTATCCTATGTTTGCCAATAGTTTTTGATGATTGATAGCACTTGTTACTTGAATTGCTGCTGCTGCTACCTTCTCCGCCCTCTGTAGATATCAGTCGCTGCCAACGGTATCGGGCCCAGCGGATGGGATCTGCCATTGCACCTGAAACACTTTATAATCCAAGAAGTGTCCTCTATCTAGAAACATGTTAAAATACAGCAAGTTAAGTAATAATTCTGTAAAGGCTTTTCAACTAAAAAGTCACAGTTACAGTTCTGAACAAGCCTAGGAAAAAAGTCATTTCCATATTTTGATTTTAAAAAAAATGAGACAGTTAATAGGTTATGTGAGGTCAGGAATCTCTGCTTCAGGGTTGAATTTATCTGAATTTCATCCACCCTTTCAGGATCCTAGAGTTTGTTTACTCTGTTTAAAATGCACAATATTTTTGTAACAGCACCTCATGTAAGCAGCGCGCCCACCAGTTTCTCATGCTGTAGTATGGTGAAAAAGCAGACAAGCTGCTAATTCTGCAGAGAACAGCATGTTGAAAGGAATCCTTATCTCAGACACTGTAGTCCTTGCCAATGGTTAACAACCTTTATTAAACTCGGGAGTCAACAATATAGCAACAGGCATCTGAGTACAGCCTTAGACCCGAAGGAAGGAATTGCCAGTGAAAGGCACTAAGTGGCTATCATGAACAAAAAATCTCTTCCTATTGAATTAGAAACAGGTTTGAGAATTTTTACCAGGTGATAGAGGACGAAAAAAATTCATGTCAATGCTTCTCCTTTATTCACCTTAGCTAAGCTCTAGCAATCTACCCAGGAATTTGTTTTCCTAAAGAAAGCTGAAGTTCACAGGTATAGGTGATACTCACTTTATCAAACCACCCGATGCAGTCAGAAAAGGACTTTTACACACACAAACCATACTTTAATAGAAGCTCAAAACTTCTGTTTTTTACAATGAATTTTTTTACAATTTACAATGAGTTTTTACAATTAATAGTTGCTATATTTTTTGTACTACTTCTTCCATAGAATGGCTCATCTTATATATGTTTAAAACTATAACTTGCATGAGCTCCAAATCATCAGTACAGCTACTTCTCACTGCAGATGACTTTCCTTCCATCTGGTATCTTACATTATAGCCAAATTTTTGACTAAATCCTCTTCCTAAATTCCCACACAAAAGCTGCCTCTAAAACTTGCTGGGTCTTTCTAAATTAAATCTTTTTACTCAGACTACCCTATGCAGTCATCAAACTAATTCTGATTTTGGCTTCAACTCAGACTTCTATTCATGTGGTATCTCTTTTTCTGCCATTGAAAAATGTCACTCTGTGCCGCTCAGATTTCTCCAAAATTTTGCTGTAAAAAGTAATTTTCCAAACTATCAATTTGACACTATCAAATATTCTCTTACATATCTTCCTTGATTTTTCCTTTCTTCTATTAGAGTTGCAGAAATCTTGAAACATGGGCACAGTGTCCTCAGCCAGTCCTCTAGCAATGAGGTAGTATTAATATCTACATATTAATATCTACATCAACTCATTTTGTTATTAAAAAGAGGAAGATTCTGCAAACTTCCTAAAAGCCTGGTCCACTGCGTTACTAACCTTTGGCTAGAAAGCTTTCCCCTAATGTCTAACTGGTCTCTTCCTCTCATCAAATTAAGATGGTACATTTTTGTCCCATCATCATTAGATGTGGATAGTTATTGACTGTTACAATCTTAACGTCTTGGAAGACTGTTACCACATACATGAAACTCACGTTTCTCTTTAGAAACCCTGATCTGCATGTGAAGGGAGAAGAGAACAAGACAAAAACAAACCTCTATAAAGCATCCCCTCCCAGCATCACCCCGGCAGTTCCCACGTGAACTACTGTTCTCCCAAGGCCCTTCTATAGTGCTCCCCCAGGCAATGTAAGGGACCAGCCTGAGAAAAAGAAACTTTCCGTTTTTCTCAGTGCTAAACCTCATGGTCCCAGTAACTATAAGACTACCAAAGGCAAGCAACTGCTGCACAGGAAGACAACTATGTCTGGGACTTCTCAGAGAAACGAGAAGGAGATTGTGAAGATTTTCCAAAAAATATGGCATCTTCTTATTTTCACAGAATGTCTCATCTTCATGTCCTTGCTCCCTCTAATCCCCAGAGGGACTGCCCTCTGCATAGAGGCTACTATCCCATTTTAGTCAGGGTTAGTCTTTCCGCCAGAGATGGAAACTCCAACATCTAGAAGCAGCTCCTTCACAGCAATGAACTACTTTTAAGGTATGGCTACCATATAGCCAGACATGTGAATATTGATCTGTACAGATGTGAAAGAGATGCTTCAATTCATGTGCACCAAGTCTGCGAACGAATCTAAAGCTTGGAAGCAAGCCAGGTGTTCAAAAATATTTTGGGACTGCAGAACCTGCTGCTAGTGGAGTCCATACTTTGCTGTACAGAGCTCTTCAATACACATAGGGCTCTTAAAAACCAAATGAACATCAACCCATCTACACGAGTCAGGACCAAAACAAAGAACAAAGTATTGAAAATTAGAGTTTAAAAAGCTGACTGGCTGAAAAAAATGGTACTTTCTCCTTTTGCAATCACAAATACTGGCAGTTCAGTTCTTTAAAAAAAACTTCTAGGTTTTGGAAGGCGCCCTTAAGGCTTGGCCATTTTGAGGAAACAACACTCCTCTTCAACTGTCTCTGCTGTGACAAATCAGTAATTTCACAAACAGGTCTTATACAATGAGGGGCCTTTTTAAAGAAAAGTTTGCTTTAATTCGCTGGATTATCAGGGAGAGTTTTAACATGACTTATTCTTTGTCCTGTTAAGTTTATCAGCCTCTTTCAAGCTTCTATCTTTAGCGTGAATCATACAGGGTGTGTCAATTAACCATACTTTTGCTGGAAATTATAATTCTTTGCCCAAGAGCAGTAATCTGACATCTCTCTACATGCAGTTACAACGTACAATATCTTTGCAGAAAACTTAAGGAAGCAAATACCACAAAATTTTTCAAGATGCCGTATGAACCAGGTAGTTGAGAGCAGGTTAGATTTGTAGAGAAAATCATGTTTGTTTTCTAAGACCAAACAAACATCTGATATTGGTGACTTCTGTGATCAAAAGCAGCAGCAAAAGTAAAGAAACTCTTTCTCAAAGTAAACTCCAGGGCTAATGGGAATGCAAAGGCTTTAAACGGCTGATCCTGTTCACTCAGTGAAAATGATATAGACAAAATAACCTATACAGCTAAACCACCTTTAAAAGCTTAAGAATTACATTATCATTAACATGCAAACAGAGATGGGAAGACAGAGTTGAGAATTGGGAAAAACAAAAGAGAAAACCTGACAAATTTCAAAACCTCCTAAATTCTAACTCTTTTTTGTTTTCATAATTTATTACCTTTTGTAGCATTTGATACCTGGTGACCACTGTTAAAAAAAAAAGGGGAGGGGAGTACTGGACATTTTAATGTGACAGCATGTTAAGACAGAATTCCTCACCATTGGATCTACAGCCGAAGGCTTAAACTGCATACGCAGTGTTGCTGAAGAGCAGTCACCCCTCACTGCACACACATCCCGGACTCCTGACACAGCTCCAAAACCTCTGCCCCACCCTTCCTCATCCTCCTTCAGAGAAGCAGAGCTTAAAAAGGAACAGGAAACCTCAGATTCAGTTGTGTGCACTGCATATTTCTGCCAGTATCCTCATCATTTTATTGTAACAACGTTTAAGAAAACTCTGAAGAAGATTGTATGGACAAGAAATAACTAACACTAAATACCTAAACAGTGTACCACACTGGAAACACTGTATGAGAGGCAACAAGTAAACTCCTATGGTCAAAAAGGTGAATCAGATAATTAACTAGCATCTTGGGAAATAAAGTATCTGGATCTCATACTCTGCCACAATGCCCTCTGACTCCCCTGGGATTTGACTGAGCTACTATTTGCAATTTTTTTTTTTTTTTTCCATTTGCATTTCCATTTTAAAATAGGATTTATGAGGTTTCAAACTTCAGAAATCTCTTTTGCATTTTTTTTCTCTTTTTAATGTTTTCCTTCTTCTTACTCATTAAATTTGGATCATAAAGGAATGAGCACTTTCTCTTTGGTTAGCTAGGAGTTCAAAAGGAGATTCATCAACTTCATGTTAGATATTGTAAAGGATGAAGTTGACGAAGTTCAAATAAGTGCTGTTTTAAACAATTTTTCTAAGAAATCCCTTCTCTTAAAACATTATTTGACCTTCTCGTCATGTCATTTTTCATAGTAAATTCTTGAGTTCTCCAACTTAAGGTGAATTTGAAGCAGTAATACAAAACGGCAGATGTTTCTGTAAACACTGGCAAAAGAAACACAAGATGCGTTACTTTTAGACAGATGTGAGAGATAGAACTTAACTCTGAAGCAGTATTTTTAAAGATTTATTTTAAAAAATAAGTTTATGTTTAAAAAACCTAAGAATAATGTTCACGTATTTGAAAACAGGAAGCCTAAATGATCATATTCTAAGTTTGAGGACAGTGTCACATAAGCTAGACTCTGTTCTCATTTTCACGCTGTACACTCTAGCAAACACTACTTGATCTTGCTAAATAGCAACAGCTGACATCCAGAGCTAATCCAGATATGTCTTACATGCAAAAAGCCAAGTTTTTGTAGCAAGTTCACTAATGTCACATGATCATGATGAAATGTGGAAGGGAACTATGTGACACTGGACATATCACTTGCTTTCTCTCTACCTCAGTTGCCTCATGTACTCTGACTCTTTCCTCTTCTTATAAAACACTTTGAGATATTCTAATGGAAAACTGGAAGGACTAGACACAATTAACATGCAATAGCTGGCTGTCAAATCTTTGTAAAAGCAAGGCACAGCAGTGTCATTTTTACCACAGGGCAGATAAGCACCAGACACTATCCATGTTTGACCATCCTATATCATAATAAAAAAGCCTTTAATAACACTCTGCTACTGGTAATGCTGTGAAAACCCTTATTTTTAAATGCTCCATAGCCTGAAAGAAGGGCCTTTCATCATAAAGCCCAGTATAACCATTTTCTTGTATGTACATTTCATGTCCAAAAGTTGCTTTCTTTTCCCACCACTTGCCTTTC